ACATGAAAAGACTATATATCGATGAGATGGCCAAAATGTTGTGACCAAGGCTTTCAGGAAATTAACCCTGTGTTTCCCCTGGGGGCAGTGGTTCAGTATTTGTGATAACTTTATAGAATATAATTACTACAAATAATGAGAATGGACCATATTTAGTTAAGAGTGTTGATTTATAGAGACTTCAGGCATCTGAAATATTTCATAATTCCCTCTCTCTAAACCATTGTTTTAGGTTTGTTTAAATATATACATCCAGAGTTATTTATAATGTAAAATCTGATTCTACCATGGATTTTGGTCGGGTTAAAAGTCATTGATTAACTTGTAAAGAAACATTTCTAAACGTTATCCTCCAGAAAATTAAAATGTGCCTGATCATATTGAGCGTTCAGTAAGTATTTGTTTTATAGTAATTATCTTTGAGTATTGTACAGATTCTGGTTTTGGAAAAGAAGTCATAATCTGCACCTCACCCTGCTCACGCACATTTGCACATGCTTTCTCTCTCTCAAATAAATTAATAAAATCTTAAAAAAAAAAGTGTGCATTTTGGGGGTTAATATTTTATTAACTTTTCCTGTATAACAGTTTCGAGTTTTAGATCAATTTTCTTAAAAAATGTGGGGCTTTATAAACTCTTTTTAAAAAGGTTTCCCCACCCCTTACAAGACAACACCAGAGAGGGAGACAAACCATAAGAGACTCTTAATCTCAGGAAAAAAACTGAGGGTTGCTGGAGTGGAGCAGGGTAGGAGGGATGGGGTCGCTGGGTGATGGACATTGGGGAGGGTATTGCTATGGTGAGTGCTGTGAATTGTGTAAGGCTGATGGATCACAGACCTGTACCCCTGAAACAAATAATACATTATAGGTTAATGAAAAAATAAAAGGTTCCCTCCCTTATAAGAGTGTTTAGTTGATTCTGATTTCCTATTACTTATTGGATAAATGTTTATTTTTTTAATTAGGTCATTAGCTTACTTAATAGATCATTGTTAGAAAAAAACTAATTTCCTAAAAATGCTGGGGTTTTTTTTTTGTTTGTTTATTTAAATTTGAGTTTATGAATACCAACAGAATATGAAATTTTCTTTTCCATTTTCCATTCCCAAAATGGGTCAGAGAGATCCAATCCAATATATATTCTGCTTGGACACATGTTTATATAAGTCTGTCAGGTATTTTCAGCCTCTTCAAATATTCTGGGATTCCTAGAAACTGACTTTTAGCTTTGTCATTGTATATTTTATATTGGCTGTGCTTTAAATCTGATTCTTCTACTTGGGCTTACCATTTCTGATCAGGTCTATCTGTAAGAATCTGTGTTATTTTGAAAGCTACTTATATGCTGTGGTTGTAAATAGTTGAGTCAGTCGACTTTATTGGCTTAAATTAAAGACACTTTCTTTTCTGTTCCTCCCAATATAACACTAAAGTTACACAATGATAGTGATTTGACTTTTTGTTATTCCTAATTAGTAATGGAAATGTTCACTGATGATAGGTGCAAGTACTGTTTTAGAAATGCCAGTCATAAACTTTCTATTTGTTGATAGGCTGACTATTTACCAACAGTCTCCTTCCTACTTTGCACATACTCTTTATGATTAGTTTTATGACCTTTGTTCTTTCATCTTTTTCATCTTGTAAGTTGCTCTTAATATGTCATTTAACCCCTTTCAGTCTCTTAAAAATATGCTTCTTTGGTTGGCACACATAGGGCAATTTGCTTGGGGTCTGGATTATTCCAGGCAATGAATGACCCTGATTTCATGCTGTTCTATGCATAATCATCCAAATGGAAAATGTTCCTGTTAGTGTTAGGAGAGTTAGACTTTAGATGCAGTTACTAAAGCAAGATTTTAATTCTTTGAAGGAAGCCTATGAATAGTAGATTTACCTTGATATACTCTGGGATACTATATATATTCATTTGCATAGGTCAGTGTTTTTCAATATGTTATTTTTAACCTGCTTTTCTGTGATGTTTTTGTAGTTTGTCTTTTACATATATGAGCCAGTAAGATTTTGATGACCTTTATTTTCTACAGTTTATTATTATTTTATTTTTTAATAGAAAACAACAGATGTATTTAATGTGCTTTTTTTAAAAAACCCTACTTTCTACCTAATACAGAAATTTTGTTATTGTGCTTATCTGAATTGTAAAGAAGAACCACTTGATTTTTTTATTTTTTTAAATTTTTAATTAATTTTTTAAAATTAACATGTAATATATTATTTGCCCCAGGGGTACAGGTCTGTGAATCGTCAGGCTTACACACGTCACAGCACTCACCACAGCACATACCATCCCCAATGTCCATAGCCCAACCACCCTCTCCATACCGCCCTCCCCCCAGCAACCCTTAGTTTGTTTTGTGAGATTAAGAGTCTCTTATAGTTTGTCTCCCTCCTGATACCAACTTGTTTCATATTTTCCTTCCCTATCCACCAAACCCCCCACTTTGCCTCTCAAATTCCTCATATCGGGGAGATCATATGATAATTGTCTTTCACTGATTGACTTATTTCGCTCAGCATAATACACTCTAGTTCCATCCACGTCATTGCAAATGGCAAGATTTTATTTCTTTTGATGGCTGCATAGTATGCCATTGTGTGTGTGTGTGTGTGTGTGTGTGTGTGTGTGTGTGTACACGTATACCATATCTTCTTTATTCATTCATCTGTTGATGGACATCTAGGTTCTTTCCATAGTTTGGTTATTGGAACCACTTGACTTTTAAAAGCCACATTTGATATATGTTACATCATGATTTATTGATTATATTTGATCATCAAAATCTCATGCACCTAGGAAAGTTTCCTTCCTCTCTCTCTAGAGGACTATTTCAAACCCCTTTCTTCAGATTTCTAACAACCTCTTCTCCCAAGATCACTCTGATGATAATGGCAACATTGCTTCCTACTTTAAAAAGGAAAGGAAAATAATTGAAGGAACGAGTAGGGAATTTCCCAAGACTCCTGCCACTTATAAAAATTTACCTGTTTCCAACTGTTTACACATTGAGAAATATGGTAAAAAGGAAATAAATGTAAAGTACCTATAATACCACTCTTCTTTCCCATCTTTTATCATAAATGAAGTATCCATTTTTTTAACTGAAACTAGTCCTTCCAATTTTTGAACTCATTCTCATCATCCCCATTTAATTACTTACAAACATCACTTCACCATTTCCCCCTTTTCTTGATTACATTATCAACTTTTTGTTTTGTATTGGATCATTCTTGTCAGTATACCAATAACACTGCTAGTTCTCTAGTCTTAAAGAATAAAACATTTTCTCTTGACTCTGTTTTCCTTACCAGTTATCACTCCCTTTTGTTCTTTTTTTGCAGCAAACTACTAACTTGTTTGTACACATCATCTCTATTCTCTCTTCCTTGTTCTTAAATCTACTTTAATCAGATTTCAGCTAATAAAACTGTTACTAGTGACTTCCATGTTACTGAATCCAGTGGTCAGTTCTTTCTCTTCATCCTACTTGAACTATCAACAACCATTGTCATTTTATACTTTCTCTTCCTGGGTATGCTTTCTTTACGTCAGGGCCTCAAGGATGTCAGTCATTCCCAGTTCTACTTGTTAGTCATCTTTGCTGGTTACTCTTTCACTCAGAATGTTGAAGTGTCTCACAGTTCAGTCATTGGAACTCTTCTTTCTGTACTGTACTTCTACTTGTAATTAGAATTAAAGAATTTCCCCCCACACTACAGCTTTTTTCTTAGAAAGTATAGATGATAGAAAATAAAATGAAATAATGCTGTTTTATTTTATTTTATTTTATTTTGTTTTTTGAAATAATGCTATTTTAAAACTATCTTTCAGACTTTCAGACCCCATTTCAAAACTTGCAATGGCCCTTTGGGGGATTCACCTCTAGTGGCAAGGGTTTAAAAAGTAAATAAGGCTGTTCTGGGGCGCCTGGGTGGCTCAGTGGGTTAAGCCGCTGCCTTCGGCTCGGGTCATGATCTCAGGGTCCTGGGATCGAGCCCCGCATCGGGCTCTCTACTCAGCAGGGAACCTGCTTCCTCCTCTCTCTCTGCCTGCCTCTCTGCCTGCTTGTATCTCTGTCAAATAAATAAATAAAATCTTTAAAAAAAAAAAAAAAGAAAAGTAAATAAGGTTGTTTTATCTGAAGATCATTGTGATATATAATACAATGTAGTTATTCTTAGAGCGTGATAGAAGATGGGTATTATATTTCTTATATCTCATAAACCTTAAAGATATATTTTTAAAAGATTTTATTTGTTTATTTAGTTATTTGACAGACAGAGAGGCAGGCAGATACAGACGGGGAAGCAGGCTCCCTGCTGAGCAGAGAGCCGGATGTGGGGCTCGATCCCAGGATGCTGGGATCATGACCAGAGCTGAAAGCAGAGGCTTTAACCCACTGAGCCACCCAGGCGCCCCAACCTTAAAGATATTTTTAAAAGGTATTCTATATGAGCTTGGCCAGTGTGTTGGCATTATTTTATGTAGCCTCAAACATGTCCATATAGATGACTGCAAAGGATGAAATTCAAGAATGAGCATTATGAAAAGATTCTATATCAAATCAAGTTTTAGAGTCTATAAAACATAAGAGCAAATGTGTTTGATACATAACATTTGAGAAATATGGTTAAAAAGTAAGTTTAAGGCACTTACAATACTACTACCTAAATACTAAACTAAATGTAGTTTATATTTTGAAATCTTGTCTTCTAGTCTTTATGCAGTTTAATAATGCTGTGATCCTATAATTACCTGTATTTTGCCCTTAGCATAATACAAACATCCATGTTCTCACAATTTTTTAAAATGCACATCATGTTTAGGAATTACACTATATATAGCCCATCTCATGGATTCCTTTGTCTTGAACATTTGGGTTTTGATTATTTTTATTTACACTTATTTTTATTTTTTGCTTTTTTGGATAAAGCTGCAGTGAGCATCCTTTGCATAATTTTTTTTTCTGTTTTAGGATTACTTCCTTAGGATAGATTGCCAGAAGTGGAGTTACTGGGTCAGAGGGTATGAACTTACGAACTTTTTTCCTTTAAAAAAAAAAAATAAAAATTTTTTTATTTATTTGTTCCCCAGTTGATTTATATTCATTGTGCAAAATGAAAATCATAATAATTATACTTGGTACCTGTCAAAAAAACATGTCTTAAGGCAGGGTTCTATGATCAGAGAAGTTTGGGAAATTCCTACAGTAAATAAGCCTCTTTATCTTGGTTTATCTCAGTATTTCCAAAACTTAATTGATAATTGAATAGTTTTTAATGATACACTTCATAAAATTTTCTGGAAGTTTTATGAAAGTTATAGTTTATGAACTGATCTAAAATAAAAAATAATTTTAATGGTTAAATTATGTTTTATTGGTAAAAGCAACTAAATTATAAAGTTTAATTCTAAAATTATTTTTTAAAAGATTAAAATAAAGCTGTGTACTGTGTGATTTTTGTGTATGTCTTTATAAAGTCTTAATTTTAACATTTTAAACTTTCTACTGATTCCTAAAGAACATCTTAATATCTCAATAGCATCAAATACTTGTTACAGTCTTTAATGAAATTTGGAATATAGGCATAGAACATAAAAGTGGGAGATAATGTAGACTGTACAAACCTTTCTTCTCCCCCCCCCCATTTTTCCCTACAGAATGTGAAATCCTTTGCATCTTCTGATAGTCTAGCCAAGGTCCAAGAAGTAGCAAGCTGGCTTTTGGAAATGAATCAGGAACTGCTCTCTGTGGGCAGCAAAAGACGACGAACTGGAGGTTCTCTGAGAGGTAACCCTTCCTCAAGCCAGGCAGATGAGGAACAGATGAATCGTGTGGTTGAGGAGGAACAGCAGCAGCAACAGCTAAGACAACAAGAGGAGGAGCACACTGCAAGGAATGGTGAAGTTGTTGGAGCAGAACCTAGACCTGGAGACCAAAATGATTCCCAGCAAGGACAATTGGAAGAAAACAATAATCGATTCATTTCGGTAGATGAGGACTCCTCAGGGAACCAAGAAGAGCAAGAAGAAGATGAAGAACATGCTGGAGAACAAGATGAGGAGGAGGAAGAGGAAGAGGAAATGGACCAGGAGAGTGATGATTTTGATCAATCTGATGACAGTAGCAGAGAAGATGAACATACACATAGTAACAGTGTCACAAACTCCACTAGTATCGTGGACCTGCCTATTCACCAACTCTCCTCCCCATTCTATACAAAGACAACAAAAGTGAGTATATTTAGTCTGCCATTGTAAAACATTTACCTATCCATGTTAATTGTAATGAAGCTTTCCTCACAGTCTTTGTTATTACCACAAAATTAATCTTCAGATGTGTAATAATAAAATGAACTAAGTTTTGTTTTATGGAAGGTATTAGAAATAGAAGTATTGATAATGGGACAATCTTATTACAGATAGAGGGGAGGTAATTGATTTTATTACTATGAAAAATCATTAATACCGAATTTTATTATAAATTTTGTCCCTGTGATGGGTTAGTAGTTTCTGTGTCGTAGAGAGGGTTGGCGTGAAATATGATTTGTGTAATCAAGTAGCAAAGAATCTTTTCTTATTTATAAAATGCAGGAGGTTGGGGTGGGCTTTGTATTCACAGGTATTACTCCAAGGCAAAAGTTACTGTCAAATTTCTGCCACTACTTCCCTTATTTGCAGTTTTCATTTTCCTTCCCATCTTAGAAGACCTTTCTGTTGTATATGCCTCCTTATCTCATTCAGCTAGTGGTAGCCCATGGAGTTAGCCATAGATATGTATTTTGTTTTTGTTTTTAGAGAGAGAGAGTGCATGCATGCACAGCTGGGTGTTGGGGGGAGGGGAAGAAGGAGAGGAAGAAAGAGAATCTTAAGCAAGTTCTTTGCCCAGCATGGAGCCCAACACTGGGGCTCAATCTCAGGACCCTGAGATCATGACCTGAGCTCAATCAAGAGTTGATGCTTACCTGACTGAGCTGGATGCTTAACTGACTGAGTTGGGTGCTTAACTGAATGAGCCACCTAGGCGCCCCTTAGCCATAGGCCCGTTTTAAAATGGGGATAATTAGACTCCTATCTAAATCAGAGACATCAACTGGTGATTGATCTAGTGCTGAGAAAAAATTCTGTTGGATGTAGTCCTTTGAGGCTATACCAGAGAATAAGGACTGGAATATACTATGACTGCTTCCCAGTATTATCTTTGCTACTAGATAGTCCGGGAGGTCCTGAAATGTTGAAGTCTGTCTGAGATGGAAGGAGGAAGTGATTGGGCAACTGCAGTAAATTTGAATTGCCAGTGCTTTTTCTTTGGGATGGCATGGGAGCTTCTTTCTTCAAAATATTCTTGAATGTTATATCCCTTAAAATTATGGTTATGATAAGAGACAGGGATTGTGGAGAAAAAAAAGCACCATTATTTCTCTCACTCCCCAGTCTTTCTATTTTATTCTTCCTGCCGCTCCTTCCCCATCAAACTATAGTTAAAATGAAATGATATAGTACCTGGGCTTTGCTTCAAAATATTCCTAAAGGGGAGAAAAAGAAAGAGGGTATAGATTGGCCATGAGTTTCTGATTATTGAAGCTGGGTTACAGAGATGGGGTGGTTCATGGGTATTTTTTTGTGTGGTTTTTAAAGTATGTTTAAAATGTTCCATAATTGAAACATTTTTAAGTTGTAAAGAATATGAATCTACACATACCGTCCCCAGAAAATGATAAGGTTGGAAATAGGAGTTTTCTTTATATCCCTTGGTCTTGTTGAGTAGATCCTAATTAAGTCAAGAAAGTGCTGACTTCTCTACATTGAATTTTATTTTCTTTGTATTTTGGTGCCATTGAAATTACAGGAAATTCAATAAAACATCATGTACTTTTGCTGGAGTTAGAATTTATTTTAATCAATATTTTAGGCAGTGTTGCTATCTACTGGTCTATTTAAAGAGGAGAAAAAGTAAAAAGAATTATACTCAGAATGAATGAGGTATGTAGCTCAACTTTTATCCTTTTTCCACCCCCCTCAGGCTTCTACGCTCATAGATCTTTATGTTTGCATGCTTTTTGGTTCTTTATCATTTTAAAATTAGATAAAAATCATGACTATTCATGTAGAGTGGACTTACAAGTTAAACAGTTCTTTGGAATGGAACATTTAATTCAAATAATAGCTTATTTTATAGATATTAAAATAATGTCCATAGTAGTTTGTCCTCTTACTCTTATTTGCTTATTTTTAAATTTACAGTGAATTATCGATTTAGCCCAATAACAATGTACAGATATAATATCATCTCCTTTAATGTAACTTGACCTGAAATAAAAAAATCTCAGATGCTAGGTTTAATATTTGAATTGCTGTATCATTTTTGCTTAAGGTTGTGAAACTTAAAACTCTTTCTAAAACATGTTTATCCCTAGTTTCCCTAGCCTTTTTGCAAGTTTAGATTTTACTTAGTTGGTTTGATCTAAGTAGAAGTTAGCTTCTGTAGTGGTTTATATTCATTCTGCCATCTCTGTCTCAAGGTGTTAAAGTAGTGCTTTGAATCTCAGCCAGATGGCTCTACCACTAATAGTTACAGCCCTGTTTTTTTGGTAAGGCTAAGACCTTTTATAATGCAGTCCACCCAAATTTTATCTCCCAGATCTCTTGATTTCTCTCCGTCAAGGTTACTACATCAAAAGATGGGGTTTGTGTCTCTTTTTTTTCTGAGGGTTCAGGTTGGGGAATGGGGTTTATCATGTTATTGCATTATCTTCTTTAAGAAAGAAGTTTTATCAAAACTAAGCCTTGTTGAGCAAAGCAAAGCTATCAGTGAGTTCTGCTGTATAATTAAAAACAAGAAAGCCAGCTAGATAAAACGTATCTTTTCCCAAAAGGAGAAGTCATCAGATTGTTCTGTAGGAAAACTATGAGTATACAGGTTTGACAGATGCTTTAGCGTTCCCCCCTCCCTTTCAAGATGAACCTGTAAACAGAACTTTTAGATATGTCTTATACAGTTATCTGGTTACCTTCTTAAAAACACAGTAACAATTTTAAATCAGTTTTTGCTAGTGTCTCTTGAGTCATGAATGCAAATTATTGTGTTGTACATACAAGGCCAAAGACGTAGACTGAGTACTAGTGACAGCAGGAAGAGATGTATGTATGTGCATAGTGTTTATGTATGTATGTACGTATGTATTCTTGTGCACACACTTGATATATTGTTTATCTTGAGGTTATTTTCCTGCACAAATATGATGCCCTTCTACAAAATAGTATTTCAGGTCGAAATTGGCCCATTTTCCCTTTTCTCTCTTCCTGGGGCTCTTCTTTAGGATTATTCCCAGAGTACTTTATTTTTTCACCAACACTTTAAAGATGTCATCTGTTACTTCATTGCTTCTAAAGAAAATGTCAGTCACCCGTCTATATAAATCTTCTAAATATAGAAAATAAGGAAGAGCTCTCATTATTTCAAAGACTTTATTTTGGAGCAGCTTTAAATTCTTTATCATTATAAACATAAAACACTTCTACAGACATTACTCTAGGCCACAGTTTAAGTCTTCTTAAACTGTGACTTTCGAGAATAGTAGAGGTATAAGAATCATTTAAAAATACTCCTTTTGGGGTGCCTGGGTGGCTCAGTGGGTTAAAGCCTCTGCCTTTGGCTTAGGTCTGATCCCAGGGTCCTGGGATCAAGCCCCACATCAGGCTCTCTGCTCAGCAGGGAGCCTTTTTCCTCCTCTCTCTCTGCCTGCCTCTCAGCCTACTCGTGATCTCTGTCTGTCAAATAAATAAATAAAATCTTTAAAAATAAATAAATAAAAATATTCCCCCTTTTTTTCATGTTAATACGGGATTAGCCATAGTTTACCCAACATAGCTTTCAAGTTTTGTTTTGGTTTGTTTTGTTTGCAGTTTCTTAAACGTTCCCTTTGGACAGTTATACTTATTTATTGGTCATTCCTGAACATGCTGTTTCTCAAATATGATATTAATGAGAAAAAGCATTTTTGGTTCTTCCTTGCATTGGTCTTTTCTTTGAAAGCAATTGAAATTATCAAAATTCTTAGGACATCTTTTTTTTTTCCCCTCTAGTCACCAAAGATTTGTTCATATGGGAGGCTGTGCAATAATATGCATTAGAAATTTCAGACTATCTTAATGTTAAAAGTCGAGGGTACTGGCAGTCAAGTCAAGTCAAGCTTATTTATTAAGTCCATACTGTTTGCAAGTCCCTATGATAGGTAAGTAAATAGAAGGTACAGAGAGGCCAAATGATTCACCCAAAAATCACACTGTAAGTGACCAGAGATTTTAATCCAGATCTGCCTAATTTCAAGCAAAACAAAGCAAAACAAAACAAAAAAATCCCAGCCCTTTCTTTCCAAATTCTACCATAGGGAAGGAAGTTGGCAAACATTACTACGTAAGATTTTCAGGAGAACTGTATGTCTATTTGGGTTCTAGCCTCTGGAGTATGATGGCTTTCTAATACTGTGTCACATTTTAAATCATCAGAGCTACCCTTTGGAAAGGATATGGAGGGCTCAGTTAAGTGCTTTTCCATGTGGTGTCTAACAAAGATTATTGAAGATATGAAGGCTCAAGGCGAAAATTGTAATAAGAAGAAATGACAGTGAAATTTGAGATCGGAGAACAGATAGCACCTTTTCAAGAGTACATCAAACTTGCTTCTTAACCAGGAGTTGTGTGCTGGCTATTTCTGTAAATTTGACTAGTCTGCCTACAAATTATAAAGTCCACTTGGTTCCTCAGATAGGAATGCCCATCTTTTCATTCTTAATTCCCTCTCTACAGACTTATATTAAAAAAGATCTTGTTTTCTAAAGAGATGCCTAGCCCATACTTAAGAATCCTTTTATGCAGGGTGCCTGGGTGGCTCAGTGGGTTAAAGCCTCTGTCTTCGGCTGAGGTCATGATCTCAGGGTCCTGGGATCAAGCCCCACATCAGGCTCTCTGCTCAGCGGGGAGCCTACCCCCCTCCCCCGTCTCTGCCTGCCTCTCTGCCTACTTGTGATCTCTGTCTGTCAAATAAATAAATAAAATCTTAAAAAAAAAAGTCAAGTGTCTTAAAAAAAAAAGAATCCTTTTATGTTTAATGCGGAGTGGCAACTCATTTTCTGCTAAAATGAAAAGCAGATAAAATTACTATTAGGCCAAGTTTTGTAGCCTTCTGAAATTTTTGTGAAGAGAACTATGTTTGAGCACCAATTTCTGCTTTT